GGGTCTATGTGGTCAGTGTGCACAGTATAAAAAAAATCCTGCAGCACACAGTGCATAATGAGAAAAAAAAAAAATGACCATTTTTTGGAATAAAACAGCGACTTTGCACTGCATTTTCGTATGGTATTTATTGTTGTATTCTAGTTTTCTTGGTCTCATTTTATAGAATGGAAGACATATTACAGAAATTGAGATGATTTTGACTGGTTTTACAATGAAAAGTACCTTGAAATTGAGCTCAAAGTAGCAGAAATGTTCGATTTTTACCAAAGTTCAAAAGTAAACAAATCATGCCAAGCGTCCAATACACGTCAACTGGTGGGCCTAATATTCTTTTGCAAGTGTGCCAATATTATTTATACCATTTTTTACACTAATGCAGTAGTCTGCATAACAGTAAATCTTCTATTTTTTGTGAAAATAAAAATTCAAAGTGGAAAGAAAAAGAATGAAGGGGGGTTTGGGAACAACAATGAACGGGGGAAATGTTATTTTAGTCCCAGGAATGTCTTTTTTTTTATTCGGGCCCCTTTTTGGGAAAATTTGGATTTTTAAAAATTTTGTGTGAAATTGGCAAAATTGCTAATTTGAACTGATGGTAGTTGAAATTGGAAAATGGGGGTTTCTTGCACTCATTCGTAGAAAAATTGGGTTCTGGCGGAATTTTATTTTTTTTTGTCGACTAGTACAGGGGAATTGGCTGAAAATGAGGTCAAATGGGCAAAATTCCCGTGCGTAAACACCCCGGACCGCTAACTTCGCAAGGCAAAATTTTCCATAAGTTTTCCTCAAATTTCTAATTTGGTGTCATTTTTTTGGGAAAAGTTTCTCTATCTTTTCAAAATTTTTTTTTTTTTTTTTTTAAATTTGGGCCGCCCCGGAACAATTTTCCGAGGGGCCTGTCGCCCTAAAAAGGGTTTAAAAGGGCTAGGGTCCTTGAAGGGGACAGATTTTGGGGGAATTTTAACATTAATTTCAAAAAATTAAGTGCAAAGGCAGAGCGTCCTAGAGGAAGAGACAGAGTCATTCTGGGACTTTATCTGGTTTTTAATGAAAAGATTTTAATTGTTTAAATGTGGTAAGTTTTAGTTTTTGAGGTTTATCAATGGGAGCCCCACATAAATTTACATCAGAAATTTATTTACAATTTGCATAGGTCCCTAAATCTAGTTTAAAGGTTGGCCAGTATAGGTTCCTGCACCAACCCCTTGCTCCGGGAGGGAAAGGGAGCGGAATTGGGTTTTTTCTGTCATACCTCTTTTCATCTTATTTTGGCTGCCTTTGGGTTGCCTTAGCTAACGAATCCCCATGCAACCTTGAAGAGGGTTGTGGTGTTGAGCTAACGTTTCCCCTATCCATGATTCTTTGAGCACTCAAGAGGACATCATACATTGTGCCCAAAGATTAGCTCAAACAGTAGACTCCTGCACAGTTTCTCTTATTGAAAAACAGCAACAAAAGTAGCGATTCATCCCAGTCTGTAGGAAAATGCATAAAAAAGTTCTCATAGGTTTTTAAGTCGATGGAATCTTTTCCCAAAGGGGCCTTGGGGGCTGAGGATATAGGCGTGGATAAGTTGTGGATTATCCCTAACCTAGTTAATGCTTCCCTGAAAGCTTTGGCAGTGAAGTTAGTACTTTGATCACTTTGAATGTTTTAGGGAAACCAAAAAAGAATAAAATCTGGTTCAAGCCTTTAGAAGGCTTTAGTATTAATACTGGCATGGGGGAAATTTTTCAGGGAAATTTGTTACTCTATCCATAATGGTAATCTAATTTCCAGACTTTGACTCAGGTGTGGACCTACCAATTTAATTAAATTGCAAAAAGGTTCTCCCCACAGGGTTAGGGGAAAGATGCAGGTTTTAAGGAAGTTCGGTTTCCCTCTTTTGACAATTTTTTCGGGAAGAGTAATGTTCTTCACATCCTCCCTTATTTTTGGCCAATAAAATTCTTTTGTGATTTTATATATGTTTTTTTGTAATTCCTAGGTGCCCTTTAAAAGAAGTAATGAGCTAAACTTTGTTGGAACCCCTAACCTGTCTGACAGTTGCCCGGGCCCCCTATCTCCTTACCAGCTCAGTCAGACAATAGTCTTTTTAAGTTTTACTTGACCCGAAAAACTGCCTGAAAAACGAAAATTTAAAAAAGGGTCCTTTCGTTTTTCCTCCCCGAAAGGGCAGTCCCTGGCAGGAAACAGAGATCTGGCAATCTGAACCCTGGAATTGGGAAAGGGTTGATCGGGGGGCTGTTTACTTTTTTTACAAGGGCCCCGGCCCGTTTTCCTCGTAAAAAAAAATATGCTATTCCCAGTCAGGTCGTCCAAGGATAGGTCAGCATTCTTGCCAGACAACCCTTGGGATGTTGCCCAAGTTATGGCCAACACCAGAGAAGAATTAATCATTATGGGTTCAGGACATGCACTAGCAGTGGTAATGTTATTACCCAGTAATAACATGGCATCTTTCATGGGGAATCCCTCGGATACACCCACAGTCAAGTATCCAGTGTAATATTTGCACTGTACATAAATTCTTTGCAAGGGGACAGAAAATATTGCTCCTTTGAATGCTTCCAGCAAAACAGAGGATTGCAGGGAGGTGTTCTTGGAAAGGGGAAGTACTCCCTCTCTTATAAGTGAGCAGTATGCTCCAGTATCTCTAAAGGTTCTGACTTCAGTTGTTTTTGAGTCTTCCTGAAGGGAAATACGACTCTGACAGTAATAATTAGCCATCCCTTTCTCTACTTCTTTCAGGGACATGTTACTAGGGACACTATAGATTTTCCCTATGGGTTGGGGTTTTTGGGGGCAGTTGGGATGAATGTGACCTACTTTATTACAGAGGAAGCAGACGGCAGGCTTGCCCTTAACTCCCTGCTGACGTTGCAACTGGTGTCGCTCTGGCTGGTGTCTCTCTGGATACTGTTGTCGAGTTGCACCATGTTTAGTGGTTTGTCTCTCACCAGGTGGACCATAAGTTGAGTAGCGTGGCTCACCAGGTGGACCATAAGTTGAGTAGCGTGGCTCACCAGATGACTTAGTTGGCTGACGTAGGCGTTCTCCCTCCGGCTGGCACTTCATCCTCCAAGGTTGACGATCTCTGCTTATGCCAGGCTGTTGAAAAGAGATGGGACCGCTCGGACAAGGAGCGGTTAGTTTCAAAAGTATCAGCCTACCTGGCTGCCTTCAATGCAGTGGTTAATCACGATCCTGCAGAAAGACTCTAACCTCTGGTCCCACAGACTCCAGCAGGTTGTCAACCAGAATAAGCTGCACAAGATCATCGAAGGTAGCAACACCACTTGCTTTATACCATCTGGTAAAAGCTTTGGTCTGCTGTCGCACAAAATCAACCAGGGATTGACCAAGCTGTTGTTTGCCTAATTTAAATGACTTTCTGTACTTAGCTGGGATACATGTATATGCTCCCAAAACTGTGGTCTTCACCACTTTATAATCGGAAAAGTCTGTGTCATTTAACACTGATGTAATTTCCTGTGCTTTACCAAACAATGCTGTGTGAACCAGCGACGCCCAATGCTGTTCCGGCCACCTCAAGGCTTGAGCCTGATTTTCGAAAGTTTCGAAAAATTGTTCTGGTTCTGCCTCATTGAAGCGGGGAACAAGCTGTACTGTTTTCTGTAAACTAAAGTCATTTACAACTTGCGAAAACTGCCTTCTTTCTTTTTCCCTATCAAACTTTTCCTTGGCAAATGCCTTCTGTTCCTTAGTCTGCTTGATTGAGTTTCGCTGACTCAAGTGCCAACGCAGCTGATTCGCTTTCAGACAACCCTGCTGCACGAGAATGACGATTTTACTCCATCGATGTATCATTTTCCTCGTGTGAGAACCTCGGAGTTTTATTCCTGGCTCCCGTAGAGGGAGAAGTCTGATGTGCCATCTACTCTTCCCGAAGTTTGTTTATCAGAGTACGCAGTTGCGCAGCTGTGAGAGTGCGTTCGTAATCAATGCCAATGGAATGAGCAATTTGCCAACAACGCTGTAGGTACAATTTAGGCAAGTTAAACAAAGTATATGCCGACACCAGACGTCTGACTCGTCTAGGTGGCATACCCCAATGTATAAGTTATTTGCTATGCACAGTATGAGTGCAGAATACCCCAATGTAACACATTATTTGCAGAACACACTTAGCTATGCACAGTACGACTGCAGAATACTTGTACCCAAACATAACACATTATTTGCAGGATATGCTTAGCTATGCACAGTACGACTGCAGAATACGCACATATGCTTGCAAGGCGGATACACAATAGCAATGCTGACCGCAAAATCTTCACACAAAAGATTGACTGTAGCGAAGCGAGCACACCGAACAAGCTAGTAGCGAGCTGTTGAATGATCATACAATAGCAAGGCTGACCATAGCAAGGCAATTGACACTCGAAGTTTGTAAAGCATTGGCAAAGCTAATGCAATGCCAGACAGCAAGCTACACAATGTTCCTGCTTCCAGTGTCACCCTAGGCTCAACCCGTGCTCTAAGTCCAACTCCAGCTCTCAGACAGGCTACCCATATTATAACCCAGGAGTCCCAAAGGCCTGTTATCCTAGGTGTAAAGGGAGCAAAATAAACACAGCAGAAAAACTTTTGACTTGTATTATCCTTCACCAATTTAGAACAGAAGTATGTACACTATATACACTATGCACAACAATAGGTATTAGTGCACTCCACGGTAAGCAAGGCAGAATAGAAGCCACTAGAGAGCAGACCGTGCTTCAACCAGCTCTAGAATGGGAATGACAAGGGAAGACAGAAAAGTGGTACCCACAACACCTCTACAATTGCTAAAACCATCTCATTGGCTGGAACCTGGGTACTGATTGAACGACGGGGCCCCATCATCAACCCTAGTACCTGGTTTGCTGGTTGGGGGAGATAGCCTTTCAATGAGGGTGTATACATGCGCCGAATAAAGGTTACATACTCTTTGCATGCCACAATACTCTAATATGCAGTTTCTTTTGTTTTAGGGAGCAACACCCAAAGATGGACCAAGTGCTGGGATAACTATTGTGACAGCCTTAGTGTCATTAGCACGAGGTAAACCAATACGACAAGATGTAGCCATGACAGGAGAAGTCTCCCTCACTGGAAAAGTCCTTCCTGTGGGAGGAATTAAAGAAAAGACTATTGCGGTAAGTATATTTAGCTTTTATTTTTGCATGTAAAAAGAGAATGTAAACACCAGTGCTTAGTTAAAAAACAGTAACCATGGAGAAAATATTAGCTTCAAAGTTATTATTGTAGTGTAAATGTATGTTGAGAGAAAACTCCTTGGTTAATGATCAAGAACTGTTGAGTAGTACACAGTGACAAGTCTGATGCAAATAAGGAAAACCAACTTTGCCTAATATTTGTATTGTCCAAACTAGCAGTTTACTTATTTTTGGTTTGCAGATTACAAGTCACTTTGAATTAGCAGGTTAGGTAGTGTTGGGTAGATGGGGTGGCATTTAGCCTTCCTGCATTTTGTGGTGGGGCATTATATCTGGAAATACTGGAGGGTATGCACACTTTTGATCCTGTGGCTACTCTATTAGCCCTGGATGATTTACTGTTTCCTCTTGATCTTTGAGGCAGGTGGCAAAATTGAAATATAAAGTTAGTTATATTTTTCATATGGATCAACTACTCATTCACACACACACAAAAAAAGCAAGTTATCAGACCCCTCAAAAAAATCTAATTTTAGGTAACACACGATATCCTTATTCAAATCTCTAAACCTACTAATTATATTAATGCTAAATTTACTTAACACTGTTCCATTCACATATTCAAAAGACACTATTGTAATGTTGATGCTGACCTAAGATACTTCTTAGAAAACTGCAATAGAACATAGGCATCACAATTGAAACAAATACAGGCACTTTGCTTTAGAGCTCTTCGCTGATACGGCACTTTTCAGTTATATTCATGTTTATTATTTTCAGCAGTAATGTGCGCATTGGCTGATCAGCGCCATTTTGTTACCTGTGCTCAGTCTCCTAAATGGTCCAAACGTATATATACATTCTTATGTGTAGCGCCCCAAACGTATATATATGTTTTAATTTTCCTGCCTCCAAATTTGGCACGATTGGACTGAGATGCCTGGTCAGCATGGAATTGGTCTTAACACTCGATGTGTGCAGTATTAAAAACTGGGACCACTTAGTACCTTGTGGGAGCGCCAGTTAAATTGAGCGCCAGCTAGAGCAAACAGTGCGGCAAACACTAAGGATTGATTGATGTAATGTCATAGTAACACTCCTCTTTTAACCGGAAAGTGATGTTAACCCCAAGTTTAGGGTCTGTCTATCTCTGTCTATCTCTGTCTGTCTCTGTCTATCTATCTGTCTACCTGTCTCTGTCTATCTCTGGCTTTGTCTATCTGTCTTTGTCTATCTCTGTCTCACAGGTACACATAAATACAAGTATACGTAGTATAAATTACCTAGGATAACCCAGAAATCCAGACAAAGTGCTATACTCTGCTTGAAGATATGAGTAAAGGTGATGATGCAGTCTTGTGGCTCTCTCTGAGACAGAGAGCTAGACGGATAAACATAGACAGGGAGCTTGACAGACAGACAGACAAACAGAAATGTTTGTGTACCAGCAAAAACAAAGAAGGGAGATGCTCATCTAATCTTTTCTTATCAGCTGCACCCTCACCCACCCTCGTGTATGCTCATCAAATGTCAGCTCTTATCAGATGTTATCTCATCTTATCATGTCACTGTCAGGGTTGGACTTTGTTTTTCATGCTTCAAGGCAACTTATTATTAAGTATTATTTTTATTACCTATTATTATTATTAGGCATTATTATTACTACGTATTATTATTATTATTATTATTATTATTATTATGTTTATAGAGGGGCAACTGATATATCGGATCATTATTTAGTTGTAGCTACAGTTAGAGTAAGAGGTAGATGGGAAAAGAGGAAGGTGGCAACAACAAGTAAGAGGGAGGTGAAAGTGTATAAACTAAGGGAGGAGGAAGTTCGGGTGAGATATAAGCGACTATTGGCAGAAAGGTGGGCTAGTGCAAAGATGAGTAGTGGGGGGGTTGAAGAGGGTTGGAATAGTTTTAAAAATGCAGTATTAGAATGTGGGGCAGAAGTTTGTGGTTATAGGAGGGTGGGGGCAGGAGGAAAGAGGAGTGATTGGTGGAATGATGAAGTAAAGGGTGTGATAAAAGAGAAAAAGGTAGCTTATGAGAGGTTTTTACAAAGCAGAAGTGTTATAAGAAGAGCAGAGTATATGGAGAGTAAAAGAAAGGTAAAGAGAGTGGTGAGAGAGTGCAAAAGGAGAGCAGATGATAGAGTGGGAGAGGCACTGTCAAGAAATTTTAATGAAAATAAGAAAAAATTTTGGAGTGAGTTAAACAAGTTAAGAAAGCCTAGGGAAAATATGGATTTGTCAGTTAAAAACAGAGTAGGGGAGTTAGTAGATGGGGAGATGGAGGTATTGGGTAGATGGCGAGAATATTTTGAGGAACTTTTAAATGTTAAGGAAGAAACAGAGGCAGTAATTTCATGCACTGGTCAGGGAGGTATACCATCTTTTAGGAGTGAAGAAGAGCAGAATGTAAGTGTGGGGGAGGTACGTGAGGCATTACGTAAAATGAAAGGGGGTAAAGCAGCTGGAACTGATGGGATCATGACAGAAATGTTAAAAGCAGGGGGGGATATAGTGTTGGAGTGGTTGGTACTTTTGTTTAATAAATGTATGAAAGAGGGAAAGGTACCTAGGGATTGGCAGAGAGCATGTATAGTCCCTTTATATAAAGGGAAAGGGGACAAAAGAGACTGTAAAAATTATAGAGGAATAAGCTTACTGAGTATACCAGGAAAAGTGTACGGTAGGGTTATAATTGAAAGAATTAGAGGTAAGACAGAATGTAGGATTGCGGATGAGCAAGGAGGTTTTAGAGTGGGTAGGGGATGTGTAGATCAGGTGTTTACATTGAAGCATATATGTGAACAGTATTTAGATAAAGATAGGGAAGTTTTTATTGCATTTATGGATTTAGAAAAGGCATATGATAGAGTGGATAGAGGAGCAATGTGGCAGATGTTGCAAGTATATGGAATAGGTGGTAAGTTATTAAATGCTGTAAAGAGTTTTTATGAGGATAGTGAGGCTCAGGTTAGGGTGTGTAGAAGAGAGGGAGACTACTTCCCGGTAAAAGTAGGTCTTAGACAGGGATGTGTAATGTCACCATGGTTGTTTAATATATTTATAGATGGGGTTGTAAAGGAAGTAAATGCTAGGGTGTTTGGGAGAGGGGTGGGATTAAATTATGGGGAATCAAATTCAAAATGGGAATTGACACAGTTACTTTTTGCTGATGATACTGTGCTTATGGGAGATTCTAAAGAAAAATTGCAAAGGTTAGTGGATGAGTTTGGGAATGTGTGTAAAGGTAGAAAGTTGAAAGTGAACATAGAAAAGAGTAAGGTGATGAGGGTGTCAAATGATTTAGATAAAGAAAAATTGGATATCAAATTGGGGAGGAGGAGTATGGAAGAAGTGAATGTTTTCAGATACTTGGGAGTTGACGTGTCGGCGGATGGATTTATGAAGGATGAGGTTAATCATAGAATTGATGAGGGAAAAAAGGTGAGTGGTGCGTTGAGGTATATGTGGAGTCAAAAAAACGTTATCTATGGAGGCAAAGAAGGGAATGTATGAAAGTATAGTAGTACCAACACTCTTATATGGGTGTGAAGCTTGGGTGGTAAATGCAGCAGCGAGGAGACGGTTGGAGGCAGCGGAGATGTCCTGTTTAAGGGCAATGTGTGGTGTAAATATTATGCAAAAAATTCGGAGTGTGGAAATTAGGAGAAGGTGTGGAGTTAATAAAAGTATTAGTCAGAGGGCAGAAGAGGGGTTGTTGAGGTGGTTTTGGTCATTTAGAGAGAATGGATCACAGTAGAATGACATGGAAAGCATATAAATCTATAGGGGAAGGAAGGCGGGGTAGGGGTCGTCCTCGAAAGGGTTGGAGAGAGGGGGTAAAGGAGGTTTTGTGGGTAAGGGGCTTGGACTTCCAGCAAGCGTGCGTGAGCGTGTTAGATAGGAGTGAATGGAGACGAATGGTACTTGGGACCTGACGATCTGTTGGAGTGTGAGCAGGGTAATATTTAGTGAAGGGATTCAGGGAAACCGGTTATTTTCATATAGTCGGACTTGAGTCTTGGAAATGGGAAGTACAATGCCTGCACTTTAAAGGAGGGGTTTGGGATATTGGCAGTTTGGAGGGATATGTTGTGTATCTTTATATGTTTATGCTTCTAGACTGTTGTATTCTGAGCACCTCTGCAAAAACAGTGATAATGTGCGAGTGTGGTGAAAGTGTTGAATGATGATGAAAGTATTTTCTTTTTGGGGATTTTCTTTCTTTTTTGGGTCACCCTGCCTCGGTGGGAGACGGCCGACTTGTTGAAAAAAAAAAAAAAAAAAAAAAAAAAAAATTATTATTATTACGTATTATTATTGTTACGTATTATTATTACATATTATTATGTATTCTTCTTCTCCTCTTCCTCCTTCTTTTCCTCCTCTTTTCAATAACTCCTCCTTTTCCTCCTCCTCCTCCTCCTTTTCCTCTTCCTCCTTTTTTTCCTCCTCCTTTTCCTCTTCCTCCTTTTCCTTTTCCTCCTCCTCATCATCGTCATCATTGTCGTTGTCGTCGTCGTCGTCGTCATCATCATTATTATTATTACATGCTTCCACATATCAAAACATTGCTGGGACCTATAAATACTTTGTTTATATTCCAAGACAGTAGTAAATGACCAAGACAGGTGTAAATGTCCGTCTGTCAGTGTGTTTATGACAATTTGAGTACAATTTCGGTACCTAATGCTAGTGTCAGAACAAAGATTAGTTATAAAATGACAAGAACTAATACAAATTGTAATTATCAGAACATAAAAATTATATAAAATAATATGAAAAATAGAAAAAACGGTATATCAGCAACACTTCTGTAACCAGCAGGACTCCATGTTGCTGTCACGTGAGCATCTGGTGCCAACTTCTCTGCCTCATATCTCTGTAAATACTGACTCTAATTTTTTTTTTTATTCTAAAACACTTAAAAAAATGTGCTCTTTTCTTCTATGATAAAAAAGA